ATACAATTTAATGAATTTATGGAATATCAATTAAATGTATTTAAAACAAACATAATTTCAACATCCCAATAAGCAATAACATCCCAGTAAGTATAAATTCAACTATTTTAAATCAATTTTTTGAATAGCCAAATTAAAAGTTGTACGAGTGACAAAATCATTCAATAATATTCACATTTTATCATTTGTATTATGTGTCAACTATCAAAGTCGCACTGTTAAGTATATTAAAATATACTTTTCATAAGATTAGACGTAAGATATAATTGTACGAAGGTAACTGAGGAACGACGATGTGTAAGACAATAAATCATACATACAGTGAAAAACGCTCTTTTTGTAGCACATCCTACATGTACATATCGGCAGCATTTTCCTTGCGATAGTAACTCCTAGTTATAGTAATACTTTAGCCTTTTTTTGTTCTCTATTAATCATATTGTGTTAACATACTATAATCTATATCACAAATTTACAGTGTCAGATGCGCACAGACCGCGTCATTGGCATCATACGCTCTGGTCCCGGGCGTTCTTTGTCAGTGCCCGCGATCACAATTAGAATTACCAGCGGTTGAGTTCGCAACTCAATATTCAAACATTTTCAACCAGATAAAAAAAGATTAAGACTTTTTTAAAGCACTTTAGATTTTATACCGATCCCAAACACTAACCGGCCTAACTTTTAAGAGTTAAAAAAGGAAGGAAGAAAAAAATTACAAAAAATTGAGAAAAAGAGCTAAATCAGATAATGTTCGGCATCGATCCCGACCCGACTGCGTTTCACTTTCGGTACGCAGCGCCTTTACCGCTTGAGCTAACGACAAACTTGGTGAAGATTACCGCAAACAAAAGTTTTTATATTGCTACAAAATACGAAATAACTCCCGTCTGTCCAGTCACTTGGTTATTTTTTATTTGAGCTGCTATAAATGTTACTAGCTCATATAAGATCTGTGAAATTAGTGCTAAAACATAAACAGTTTTGTCAAAAAATTAAAAGGCAATATGTCTGGATCAAATAAACTGACTAGAAGCAAACTGATATCTTGAAATATAGATTAACATGCTGACAAACTGTTACAGTTTAATCAAGTTATAAATTCACATCGAGTATTATATAATTTATATTTTGGCTTTTAAGATGTTTTCTTTCAAACATTGTGATTTCAGGAAACACTCGATGTTATCATCATATACCGCTGATAATACTAATTGTGATCGCGGGCACTGACAAAGAACGCCCGGTGTCACAGTGATATGAGTATCCCCGTGTTTTGTGTATCCCCACACTAATATCCCTAGGGATAAAAGTACCCCCGGTGGGGATACCTACAACACTAGAAGCGAAAGGATGCAATATTCAAAATATGAGCAGGAGGAAAGTCATTTATCTGTGCCTTTATTTTCCGATATTAAGTATTTACGTTTTTACAGTTATTAAATGCTGCAGTAAATGTGTATAATGTGATTGTGCTTATGTTGTAACTGTAGGATAGCATGTTCGCGTCGCATAAATTGGTGTAGAACATAGTGTAGAATTACTCCTAACATTAACTCATATGGCTCCGTATTACTTGATTTCCGACGTATATGACAGGAAGTTTAAATATTACAGAACTCCGCGAGTATTTGCAGTAGAAATACGAAAGTACCACAAAAAAAATCCGCTTGAAAAGTTCTATGAAATCGAACAATGTAAAATAGCCATAAATTATAAACTAGGCATACTCGAACAATGTAAATTAACCATACCATACTATAGACAATAAACTCGAAGAATGTAAACAATGCATCACTAAGCCATACCTTTCGCCGAATATAACTTCGGCCCCTTTCAACATATCTTTTTGGTATTAGTCTTGTTCAAAACACAATCCAACACACTATTTAGAGTGTTATTTTCAAGCTTGTATGTGCAGTTCTGCATGTTTTATTTCCCGCGAAATCTTAGGGATACTTGTATCCCTAGTGATGTGGGAATGTAGGGTGGTTCTTTAGGGATACGCAGAACACGACCGCCATATTGCTGGGGATACACATATCCCTAGTGAGGTGAGCATGGGGATACACATATCCCTAGTGATATTAGTAGGGGATACACAAAAGAGGGGGATACTCATATCACTGTGACACCGGGATGTAGTAAAATCCGTCTCTCCCAGATGACAGAAGGAGAGACCCTGGGAACGAGGTTGGGATGAACCTGGCAAATTGCAATCTCGTTCCCCGAGCCTGCGATCCTTGGGAAGGAAACGAAGGCTCTGGGATAATCCTAGCCTGCGTGCAGGCCCAAGGGAACTTGATAGTGGGCCTGCAACCATCACCCCATGTTTTCGATTTTCGCCGGCCGAACCGCCGGCTAAATTCCCATTGGCTAGCTGAGGCGATCGGTAATTAATTAACCTAGCCCATTGTGCAGGCACAAGGGAACAGTGATTCATCACTAAGGCATAGACAAAGGCTCTCGATAAGCTTAAAATTTGAAAATTGATAACTTTTTTCGATTACAAATGGAACAAGAACAGACTGTTTATTGTTTACTTGAAGGAAGACATGTTTTTGCCGTTATGCCAATGGGGATTGCTTGTCGTGAGGTGTTGGAATAGCAACATTACGACTGCGGTAAACTATAGTAACCTTTACTTGAGTTTCATTAATTTCAAACAGACTTCAGTTGATACGTTATGTGTTCTCACTTCCTCAAGAAAATTATCTTTTGGTTGATGTTGAGATGCAGTTGCATGTAAGAACTGTAAGGCCCGGTTTAGACGCCGTGCTTTTCATGAGCCGAACTTAACTCATATTTTACTCGAGTAAAATAGGCGTACTTCCAATTTTGATTTAGACAGGCGTGCTTTTCATGAGCCGTACTTAATAATTTGCGCTGCTTCACTTCGAAACCTGGGGCGAGTGACATTTCATA